TTGATTCTATGATTCTATGATCTTCATATTAGTGTGGCATGTTGTCTTCAGCAATCAAACTACATCTACCATTCCCTACCTAGAAATCCCAAATCTTTAGGTGGGGAATGGTAGAAATATAATTGATAATTTTCAAACCCAAGTTAAACTGAAATTAAATTTAAAAAGGAAAATAGGTTAATTGGAGCAAGATTTCAGCCTGAGAGCATACCTCACCTGTTATCCACATAGTGTGACTTCAGTCCAAAACTTGAAATGACACATGATATGAAAATAGCATCCTGGGACTGCAAATAGATTGTATTGAATTCTGCCTCTTGCTAGGGAAACCTTTTCTACTTTCTACCAGAGAAATGTGATGTGATGCCTTTAATATATGCTGGAAATCACTTCAAGAGATTGAGTTCAGCTGGGAGTTGTGTCAGTGTTTTAGCTTTGGACACATATAGTGAGGTGGTTGTAGAACTAGTTCCCTGCTCCCTGCCTTCCCCTTCTCCCCTTTCTGTCTTACTTGTTGAATTACAGGCCTTCACATTCCTAGAAGTTCAATGCAGTTTTTTTGCTGTTCTTAAAAACAGAGCTTCAGTATTAATAGGTACAACACTGTGAGGCATAAGACCCAGTATTTAGCACTAAAAATTAGGCGTTTTAAGTTAGTGTTGCTAAATTAGTAGCACACATATGTCCTATACCCCCTGCCTGATTCTGTAAGGCAGAATATTGATCTAAGTAGCTGTAGAAGACTTATTTCTAAAACAATGTCGTGGCTAAGTGAGCATTATTTACTCAAAAAATCCTGACTGAAACTCCACAGAGAATGGGGAGACAGCACTATTCTGGAAATCTGAGTTTTCTGTTCTCACCTTAAACAAACCTTCAGTACCTCTCTTTGCTATCTTAACCTACTGTAGTATTTTCCCCCATGCTTTTGTGAGGCAAAATGCATAAAGGATCCAGTGGCACTTTGTAGAGTTGCAGGAAACCTGTGACATTCATTAGCAGCACCCAAAGCTCTGGAGTTTCACTTTGGAGAGTCAATCAAAGATTCCTGCAGAACCTGGAGGAAATGTTGACCCCCATTATTCACTGAAATAAATGACACCTCCACTGGTAGGAAACACCTGTGGATCACTTCTGCTAGTGATATGTGATCATTTATTGTCACAACTTTGTTCAGATCTTGCCCTTTACCTTAATGAATACTGTGTGACTGATCTTAAGCCTAATGTAAATGAAAAGCCACATATGGCATTTTCTAAGTTATGTGTGCCACCTTTGGCATCTCACTCAGTCTTTTGGTGTTCTCCTATTTTTTTATCACAGCTGCAAAACAATGTTCTCTTCAAGGGGGAAGTTCCTAGGGAGCCAGGATACACATGGTTTGTACTATTGGTACACAGCTGATGCAGCTTTTTTCTTTCTTACAAAAGAGACAGAATACATCTGTCTCTGCATTTGGTAGAGTTGGTGCAAGAGCAAAATCCAGGTCCTGGCTCAGAGGAGATTTCAGAAAGGGACTGGAATAAACCAACCTGTTGATACTGGGAGGTGTGGAAAGAGAGTCATGGAAAAATCAGCAAAACACTTCTATGTTCCTTGGTTGAAGGCATCTCCCTGGTGGTTGTTTCAGCTGGTTTTGAGGCTGTAAACAAGTTCCTGCTTTTTTGTTGAGCAATATTTTCTCAGTATGTGCTGAGATACTGCTTTTAAATGCTTATTTCTGCCAGACATGGCCAAAACAGCTTAAACCTCTGTCAATTTTATCTTTGTCACATTGAGGGTGACACCTTTGGTTATGGTGAGACACAGTTGGAGCAGTGCTGTCCTGCTGAGGTCAAAAGCCCTCAAGATAGGAAATAGGACATGAAGGTAGGAAGATACAGGCATCAGAGCAGGAACTTGCTTTTCTCAGTGTGTATTTGGCAGTTTTGGCCTGCAGGAATAGTTTGCCTTTCTGTCCAGCTACAAAATTTTGCCTCTACAAGCTCTTACAAGTCCAAAGAAAGTCTTCGCCACCATCCAGTTTCTTTCCTTGAGAAAGGGTTTTATCCTGGGAGCTACCAGTTCTCACAGTTTCTACTAGGGATTAAAAGATTTTCCTCCTTCAAAAGAGCCTTTCACAGAAACAATGTGAGAAATGTTCAGCAAACTTGTCCTTGAAAGTGATTTGGTGATCTTAACTTTTTGGAAGAAAAGCAAAGAATGTCTTGAAATAGTTTCAGTGGTATGAAATCATAGTAATCCAATTCCAGTGTAATAAAATACTTAAAGAATAACTGTTCTTAAGAACATTTTCACAAACACACTCATCTTAAGTACTATAATTATGAAGATAGGATTACTGCAATTCTACTTCAAAATTTAGAGCTCTGCCTAAACTGACAAGCAATACTTGTCTTCTCTGACCCTCCTTTGGACAAAGGGAGAGCTCTGAAAGTGTCAGTTCACCTTTCAGCATGATTTCTTATAACTTGCAAATCAGGTTAGGCCACTATTGCCTTTTGTGTTTTAAACCAACTGTCTAAAATGCCTTTATTCCATATTTCAGCATTAATTATTCCATTTCATTTATTCTGCCTCATTCACATGGCAGTACTAGAGTCCTTCCAGGTGCTGTTGGGATGCAAGCATCCACGTGGCTCCAGATGCTCTACAGACACGTGTAAACTCATTTTAAGGTTGAAGTACTGCTGAGCTTAAATTATTTCATGCCTACACAGGTGTGCAGTTGCTTCTCAGGCAGTTCCCCCACACTGTTCTTCAGTGCTTTGCCTGGCCCATGATGTTTGACTACACTGCTTTAGCAAGCAGGACTTGAACAGTTGCCCAGAATTCCTTGAAACCAAAACAACAATTAGGGACACCAGGTGAACTTGGCTATTAGTACTTCAGCATCACGAGTGTGTTTGCCACCACTTAACTGCTTCCACAAGCAAGGGAGTCTTGGTTCTGTGGTTCAGCTCTGCAGTGTAGACAGGGTCAACAAGCAGATAACAAAGTTTGACCCATGGCAGAGTCGTAAGCTGCACATCTGTGTATGTGCCTAGCAGAAGGAGCTCAAAGTTTTATTTATGTTGCTGTAAAAACTTGTCAGGTATAAATGTTCTCTCACATGTCCTGCGGGTGCAGACACAACCTCCAGTGATCTATGTATTTGAAAACTAGGAGTCTTAATAGACAGAAACCATTCTCAAAGCATGCTCCAGAATTCATTGTCCCTTGTTCCACCAGCATCAAAGAAATGTATCTGAGGGTTTGAGCTGCAGAGCTCTTGCTGCAGGAGAACAGAGACACACGAAAATCTCGAGTTTCCACACGATGCTTTAGTGGGCATGAATGTGTTTGATTGAAGGTTGGACTTGATTATTTTGGAGGTCTTTTCCAACCTCAGTGATTCTATGATGCCAGGCAAGTGCCCCAGACTTCTCACTGTCCTGTACCAACTCTTATTACCAGCCCAATGTAACTAATTTCTATGTTCTCACAAGGCCTGGAGTCAAAGCTTACACTAAATTAATGCTATCTCCCTTGTGTGATCCTCCCTCGCTCCCATTAGCAGTTCAACCAAAGAGCAACTGCAAGAAACAAAGGAAAATGTTTACCCAGCTGATGGTCTCTGCACAAAGGACTTGCAGCTACACTGCTCTGCTATCTCTTTCTGTTTGACAAATAGACTGCCTTTGCTTTCTAAAACCAGAATCAGGGCAAGAGCAGGGAGTACAAGGGAGTAGAAGCTGGGGAAAGGCATCAGTAAAAAAAAAAATCCAGCATTGATAAAGAGATTTGTAGCATTTTAACTGTAGAAAATCTAACTCCATCCTGTCAGGACTTCAAGCTTCATGTACTCAAGACTGAAATAATTTTTAAATGCTTAAAGTCTGCATCAAAACTAGGGTTCAAAAGATCAAGAACTCAGAAGATTTCTGGTAATGTCTGTGCATCCATTACTTCCCATGTGCTTCCACAGAGATTAGATGCTAATTACTGAAAGTTAATAGGCTCCTTGTGGTTACAGACCTTCCCCTTAGCACTTTTACTGACACTGCAGAATCTGACTTCCCTTTTAAGTATAACGGATGCAAATAGCTCAGTGTAAGAGAAACTCTTGGAACTACATCAGTAGTGAAGACTTTTTTTCAGGATTTTGAAATATGCATATCATTAAACCTTTTTTTTTTCCTTTCTCTTTGAAGTAAAATATGACCTTAACAACCCTGCAAAACATGGAAAGCTGGATTTCCTCAACAACCTTGCGACTGGACTAGTATTCATTATAGTAGTTGTGAATATTTTTATCACTGCCTTTGGAGTGCAGAAGCCAGTGGCTGAGTTAGCATCAAAACAGTAAGTTTCAGGTGAGTGTGGTCTCCCTGCACCATAAGGTAGCAGGGCATGGATCCAGGAATGCAGGGCACACTGGGGCATGGCTTTAGAAACAGCTACGAGCTCATCTGTACAGTTCTACTGTATAGTTTATCTGTGCAGTTCTAGTCCTTGCAGGTAACTGAGTTCACTTCAGACTAGTGCAAAAGCACTAGTGCTGGGTGCTGCTAAGATATTACAGTGTGTTTATAAATATGGATTTGAAAAGCTGATGGCAGCATCTCACTCTGTCCAGGACCCTTTGCATGTACCATGTGTAGGAAGTGTAAGGATCATCCTGGCTTAGCCACTTCTTTTCCTCATTGCTGCTTAAGGCAGGAAGGGAAATAATGTTTTGCTTCCTCCAAATGCCTCTCCTTTTCCTAAGAAAGGTTTGCATTCAGTCTGTACTGAACACTGAAGACTTAATCTGTATCCAGCTAACTAGGGTTATTAAGTCTGACATATAATACTGCATGTCCTGGAGCCTCTCAGTTCCAGTGCAGATAGTGTGGCTGTCCTGGCCTCCCAAGGACAGAGCTTTGCTCTGTGGGAGACTTAGCCCACAAAGACAAGCACTGTCACTTTACACGTGGCCATTTAGAACAATATTGTTGCTCTACCTGCATTTTGAACTTTGTTCTTTACTCATACAGAAGAATAAATATAGGAATTGTGGAGATCAAAATGGGTATCGTCCTAGTATCATAGCCATGATGAGCAATTTGGAAGGAGATAAACCTAAATTGTAGGCTTGTAGCCCAAGAAGCACTATGGTCAACATCTGCCTTTAAAATAGCACTGCTAAGTGTGTGTGTGCCAACACTGCTCTGGTTCTTGGCCTTCCAAATCTCAAACCATAGTCAGAGACCTGCTGAAGAAGGAATGACCTGACTTTCCTGGCAGGCTGTGATACACTGGCTGCTGTGCAGGCAGCCCTTACATGTATTGGGGTGTGTTAACTTCTAGATGAAACCCTTTCTCTATGAAAAAGAAGATACAAGGCCTTTAAACTCCTAATCTCTAGATGAATGGCACAACAGAAACGTGTAACAAGAATGTGAGTCAGACCAAAATTTATCAGCAGTCTAAGCAGCATGGGGGGAAATCAGGGCAACAAATTACTGGAAAGATGAAGAACTCAGTTAATTTATTTCAGGGTGTGAGTGGAATTCTCTGCTTTAACCAAAGCCTATGAAGTGCTGGCAGTGGAACAAGATAGTTTTATTGTACTTTCTGTCCATAGTCTCTACTAATAAGCTAATAAGTATTTTATTTTAGGGCAACAAAGAGCACATGGATTATGTGAGCTATGATCAGAATTATGGGTAGAATGTTCATCTCAGTAGTACCTGTTAAAACAATACTGAAACACTAACCCCAAAGCAGCACTGGCAAAGCCAGTTTATTATTGGAATTTTAGCAGTCTACACAGGACAAAAGATGCACAATAACCAGGAGCAGAGACAGGAATCTTAAATAGGCATAAAGAAGCATGAGTGGGTTTATGCCATGCCTTGCTGCTTAGCTGGCAAGGAGATGCTCTTGACAGCACTTGTTTTGGAGCTTCTCCTCTACTATTCCTTCTGCTCTCCATAAATTGTTGACCCAAAGGGTTTTGTGGCTTAATTATGATTGAGATTGTGGAATGCTTTGTTAGAAAGCTAGTTAGAAACAGTTAGCCTGTAACTTCTCGGAGATTCTCATGAGAGCATGGAACACAGTTCAGTGCCTCAGTAAAGGAGAAACAGTAGCTGGTAGAGGCAAGACCAGAGGATGTGTAAAGCAAGTTTTCATTTATACAGAACCAGCAGCCATGGGCTCCTGCCTGCACACTCTCACACAGGCAGATTCCTAATAAAATAGCCAAATGTGCTGTCTGGGACCTGTGTCTTTTTGCTGCAGGCTTGTTAAATGGGAAAGTTGTGTATTGCTTTGGAACATTACAGCTGTTGTTTGCTCATTTATGCACATTGCCTTTGCTGAAAAAAACTGGTCATCTGAATGGAACTTTAAAAATAAGTGGTTTTCAGTCTGGTGCCACAGTCTTCAAAACCATGAGAGAAGTGGGTGCCCACCAGTTTCTGGCTTCACCTTTACTGTTATGCACTCATTTCCACAGAAAGCTTAATTCCCCCTTTAGAGCAAATATGTCATGTACTATAATTCCTGTATCACTAACATCTCAATATCTTTGTATTTCAGAGACCTGGAGCATTCATTCTAGATGCCATTTGCACTTGAGCCAGTCACACCTGGACACAGTGGGGAAGAAAAAATAATCTGAAGAAGTGGACACACCGAGCAGCTTTCTCAAGTTTTGAACAACCAACACATTTGTGTACCCAAAATATTCCATTGTGTTAATATTTAAACTGTTTGGCATCTAAGAAAAGGTTCATTTTGCCTCAAGGACCCTGTTCTTATGCACTATTGGCATTTCAATTTCTATAGAAACTAACTTTTTCAGAGAATTGGCACAAGCTCATCAAACAAGGAAACATCAACTGGTAGCACTTCACAGGACTTTTGTTTTTACATGCCTTTGGTTTTTGTGGCAATTTGTCATTTCCACCAAGGTAAGAAATGTCAGGCCCTCGATTCTGGCATGGTCATGTTGTCCTTTATTTCATGGCTTGGCACCAAGCCCAGGCACTCTGTAGCCCAGCAGTGCTCTTCCTTTGCAGCAGGCAAAGGTAGCTGTGCCTTGTTTTCCTTTTTTTAACACTCTAGCTGAAGCAAAGATGAGACAAACAGAAACAATCATCTCTCTTTTGTCCAGTTTTGCTCACAGGTACTCGTTTGGCCTGTTTCTTCATCTCTGGATACACTTTGAATTTCCTCTCCTTCATGCATGGACACACAAACAACCTAATTGTTAATTGTTTCTTACTGCTATTCTGTGCATTATATGTATTTCATAGAATCATAGAACAATTTGGATTCCAGGGACCTTTAAATGTCATCTAATTCCAGTCCCTGCCATGGGCAGGGATGCCTTCTACTAGCCCAGGTTGCTCCAAGCCCCATCCAACCTGGCCTGGAACACTTCCAGGGATGGAGCAGCCACAGCTTCTCTGGGCAACCTTTGCCAGTGCCTCACCACCCTCATTGTAAAAAACTTTCTTATATTGAATTCCTGGAAACCCTGTTAGGAGCACCACTTTTTCTAGGGTCAACTGGAAGACTGGAGGATCCAGTGTGAAGTTTACCTGCTAAACTGGTGCCGAGTGCCTGTCAGCAATTCAAGTGGCAAAATGAAAAGTTTCTTTCTCTACAACTTATTTTGCCCTTGTCTCTTCCCAATATTGCTGCAGTTGTGTTATTCTTAAGAGTTTATGGCTAAAAGCATAAGTAATTTTTTAATTTTTATTTTAAGATATATATATAGATATAAATATTCTCTAGGTTCTTACCTGCTGGCTCAGGGACTGACACGTTTTCTAAATACACTATTGCTAGTAATGGTGCAAGCTGCAAGAATTTCTACAACAAAAACATTTCAGTCATTTTATTTCCAAAGTATCACATCTGCAATCAGAAAAATCCTAGTTTCCTAGGCTGTGCTTATATGTAGGTGCAGATTTGTACTAATACATTTCATTAGCATTAATTTTCCAACACTCCCTTGCACATAGGAATAGAAGTTTGACTTCTGTGTGTCTCATCTCATTTACAGTTGTTATTGCTCACATTTCTCTTTGGTTATGTCTCAAGACCCATTGATGTACCAGATCTTCATGTACATGTTCTGTAAGAATTACTAACAGAAAACAAATGAGAAACTTGTGTGATTAGTAATGGAATAGACATTCTTTTTTATTTTTTTGATTTGTCTGTTGTTGCTTTATTTCCAACGTAACATGTATTTAACCAGTATCTAGAAGGCAATGGTTTAACTGTGTGTGCTGTACTAATTTAAACTTAGCTCAGGGCAAGTTCTGAATGAGGCACTCAGGATAGTTTCCCATATTCATATTTTACTAACCAGCTGCTGGAGGACTGTTCACACCCCTCATACCATCACACTGTGGCACAGTGAATTGACTGGTAACAGTGCAGTGCTGGAAATCTGAGAAACCTTTCTTTCAGAGGAAATAGGTGTCTGAGGGCACACAGCCCTTCCAGCATGAAATGTATCTGTGGCTCAACACTGGGCAGTAATTTTAATAAAATTCTTGACTGTACCACCTCTGCTACCTTTCAGCATTCTCCTCACCAGAATATTTGCCTGCCTCCCCATCTAATTCAGCCTGGAGAGAGAGAGGCTCTCTGAGGGCAGCTACCTCTGTTCTGTACAGGAAAATTTGTACCTAAGCTAGCTGTCTGTTGCTTTGTGTTGTCCTAAATACATACTTGTACAAAAGCTGCTTTTAACTTAGGTATGAATATTACATATTTTTCATTGCCAGATTTGCATCTTCCTAGTTTTTTAATGCAGATATAAAAACAGGAAGAAAAATCTTTCTGGCACTTAGCTAATTCTCCCATTTGTTCTCATTTTTTTACTTGTCCTTACCACCCTAAAGGCACGTGCACAGACACTCAGGCTCTTCTGATGTTTGCCAGCTTCATACTTAGGGGTGATATGGCTCAGTTTTGAATGTAGGTTCCCATTCCTGTGCTGGTTACTGCCACAGTCCTGACCTGTCATAGAATCACAGAATGGTTTGGGTAGGAAGGGACCTTAAACACCATCTAGTTCCAACCCCATGGCAGGGTCACCTTCCACCAGTCCAGGTGCTCAAAACCCCATCCAACCTGGCTCTGAACACCTCCAGGGATGGAGCAACCACAGCTTCTCTGGGCAACGTGTCCCAGTGCCTCACCACCCTAACAGGGAAGAATTTTTTCCCAATATCCCATCTAACCCTGCCCTCTGGCAGTGAGAAGCCATTCTCCCTTGTCCTGTCCCTGCAGGCCTTTGTCCAAAGTGCCTCTGCAGCTCTCTTGGAGCTCCTTTAGGCACTGGAAGGGGCTCTAAGG